ACGCCATCAGACTGTTTAACTCCTCTCTGGAGGGGAGAGGGAGGGGAAACAGGAGGACAAAGGAGGGGGGAACAACTAAGCTGTAGTGCCTCTTCACCTCACTGTGCAATACCTTGTGCAATACTTTTGTAAATAGTCAACGGTGCAATAGACTCAATACTTGAAATGTGCAATTCACTTGTATTTTTATTTTTATTCCTATTTATTCTATTTATCCCCTTCGTATATTTTATTTATATTGTCTCTGTATTTATATATATGTGTGTGTGTGTATAACTCTAACTTCTGTCGGTGCTGTGCTTTTTTGGAAATCGAATTTCCCAGAGGAACCCACCCGAGGGATTAATAAAGTTCTATCTTATCTTATCTTATCTTAAGTTCATATGCATGTGAGGGCAGACGAGTGAATACTTTTTGGTAATATCTCGGTCCCCTGACGGCCAAAGAACAGCGTCTTTACTGTTTTAGAAACACTTTGCCTTTATTATAATTAACTGTAATCCTGAAATACAAAAATCCCTTCTTTATGACTGGTGGCTCACTATGGATGAGACAAAAAGTGACGGGTTAATCTCTTTGTTTACAAATAACCAGGTAATAAAACTCCACTGTGGGGATTATGTGGCGTTAATAAAAATGAACGAAGAAGAAGAAACATAAACAAACACTTTGAGTTTGATATTGGGTTTTAACCAGTTTTAATTAACCCTGATTACAGCTTAATTACAAGTTTGGGGAAAAAAATAACATAAAAACACGAAAGAAGTGGAAAAATTCAATGTTACATCATGGTATTCTCTCTCGTCTCCATCTGAGTGTTAGGTAATTGCTTGGGGGGGGGGGGGGGGGGTGGGAGGGGGGGGGGGGTGAAAGACTGAAAGATAGACCTTTACATGGTAAAACGATACATGTCTTTTAAAATGATACAACATCCCCCCTCAAAAAAAAAAAAGATAAAAAATATACAAGCAAGAGAGAGAAAAAGTAACATTATAAAATTAAAATTACAAGACAGAAAAAAAAAGGATAAAATCCCCCCCCCCCAAATAATCCTCCACTGTCCCTCCCTCTCAAAACCCGATGTTATTTCTCTGTCAGCATCAAATATTAGACATTTTAGTTATATTACATCTGCAAAAACTAAAGACAGCAAAGGGGGGGGGGGGGGGGGTGTGTGTTGGAGGCTAGAAGGTTTGAAAACAGGGAATGGAGTTTGGGGTCGATCAACATCATCCAAAGTGATGTACACAACATAAAAAGCAACAGCTAACAGAGCCATGGAATAATAACAATAATAATATTAATCATCATCATCATAATGCCAGCTGGAGAGGTAAATAACCCAATGAGAACAATCACAACATCAGAAAAATAAACCGAGAAACCTTTTCTCCTTTTTCTAAATAGAGAAATGCAATCTTTGTGCTGTTTGTCTGCAGACCTGAAACAGGATGAGGGAGAGTCTGCGTCTCACCCAGACTCCGATCAATCGCTTTGCCCCCGCTATATATCGCGACAGTCAGATCGCGCTGCCGTTAGCAGGAAGTCTGACGGCGCCTGAAGCAGAGCGAGGAAAAAAATGAACAGCGAGAAGCGCGAATGAAAGAGAGAGAGAGCAGAGAAGAAAGAGAGACGGATGTCTTTCTGTTGCTGAGATATGACAAGTAGTAGAAGTAAGGCAGCTGTCAGTTCAGATACAGACACAGGGCCTGGCGGGTGTGTGTGTGAGTGTGTGTGCGGGCTGTGACATGCTCCCGTCCAGACCACGGGGGTCTGAGGAGGAAATTCGATCAGCCCGGCTACACAGACCGCCTGCAGGCCATCTATCTCACAGCTCACCGCTATAGATCCGTCTTGTTGCTGGCCAGGCAGGAGACAGACCCCCACCCCCCGATTGGACGCCTGGCTGGATGCTGAAACATGTCACAAATATATGTGTTTCATGTGTGTGTGTCTGTGAGAATATGCATAGTTTGAGGAGAGGGTGTCCAACTGATTAACCCCATCCCCGAGCTGCTGTGAACTTTGGAGCATTGCCCTAACTGATCTAAGAGAAGAGACGGGATTACTACTCCACGAATAACCCGCTCACACACCCTCACACACTCCCAGGCGGCCTGCAGAGGTGGCCCAGGGCCAGAGGGGGGCTGGGAGCTGAAACCAGGGAGAACCCTGCTGAGGCGAGCTGGACTGCAGACAGGAAAGAGCAGAACGCTGCGAGCTGAAAGGGCAAGCTACGAGAAACAAAGTGAACAGCAGAGTGAACCACACATCTGACTCATTAGCAGTCTGCTCGAGTCCTGATGGGTTTTTTTCTTTTTTCTCGCCGTTCGTGTTCTTGTGATAGACTGGCCTGCGCTGTTTTTCCTCTGGCTTGTTTATCTATGAAACAAATGTACAAGAAAAACAAACAAACAAAAAAAAACCCTGACCCACGCCCCCTCTGCATCTTCAGTCTGCCCTCCATGATACCATGTCACAGAAAAAAAAATCCTGAATCAATCACGTCATCAAAACGCTTTTTAAAAGTTTACTTTTGTTTAATAATTTCCTTTAGAATATATAAAGATATAATCTGTATGTATGTTTGTTAGAGTTCAGTTTGCACTTTTGTACATGCTATAAAAACAAGGCATAGAGAGGCAGAGTGTGTGTGTGTGTGTGAGCAGGTGTGTGTGTGTGTGTGAGAGATGCTCCCTGCTCTCTCGAGCTCTCACACTCGTAGCTAACAGGCCCGCCAGCCTCACACGCCATCAGGACCTAAGAGGGTGATGCGCTACAGAGAGCCGGAGGTTTGGTCCGAGGGAGAGGGAGCATGCTGAAGGCAGTGCTGTGCGAATGTGTGTGTTTGCTGGTTTAGTTTAACACTATCTATGATTGTTAGACGAGCTCTAGCTGGTGAACTAAGTTTCTGTGCTGCTGAGGGAAATAATTTTCAGTGTACAAGCCATGTTAGGTGAGGTAAGAAGGCTGGTTAACAGCTTGCTGGAACCCCTGCAAAAACCCTTCTTCCTCCTCCTCCTCTTCTGCAGTCTTCTTCATCATTTTCCCCTCCTCACATCTCCCTGGGCTGAACTTGTGTCTGTGAGCAGAGTTGTGATATTTCCACAGGTGGTCCACAAGAGAAAGAAGGGCAGGACAGCAGAGAGACAGAAGGTTATGTGAAAGTCAGAAGCTCTCAGAGAAGAGTCAAAAAAAGTTTGTGTGCGTGGCAGTGAATAGATTTTGGTGTCCATAGTCACTGAGTCCCATTCACTGTTGGCCTTTCTTTTTTTTTGTTGCTTTTTTTTTTGTGTGTGTGTGTTTGTGTGCGTGAATCCAATAAACGTACAGCAATAGGCTTCCCTGAGTGGAGTGGGCCAGTTTTAAGAGTCAGTCAGACAACACCCAGCACCCCACCGCCCCCACCCCCTCCCACCTGTATCAGTTTTAGAGACTTTTTCCTTTTGATCCAACAAACATGTTCACAGAGTGATCACTCTGAGTAGCCCTCCCTCCTCCCCTCACACTCTTCCCCCCCATGGTTTTAGATACAGGCACTTAAAGTCCCGTCAGTTTGTAGGAAAAAGTGGCGTGGGTGTACACATCATCATCATCCTGGATCGTCATTGGGGAGTGTGCGTGTGTGCATATGTGTGTGTCCCCTGAGGAAGGTGCTGACTGGCTGCTGATCCTACTGATGGGGGGGGGTTGTGCTACAGGGGCAGGGCATGTGTTAGGAGGTGAACTTGATGATTCCAGGTCAGTCATACCATCGCTGTGCCTGGTGTGGCGTCTGAGTGAGTCCCTCCTGCACACGGCTGCGTCCCAGAAGAGCCCTGATCCAGATAAATGGTCTGGCTTTAGGTCTGACACAAAAAGAGGCAAGAGTTGGGCAGTCCAGGGCGTCAAATAGTGGCCTTTTTTTCTCTGTCTCCCCACAATTAAAGCTGCTTGCATTGCAGAGATATGCGTGAAGTGTCGTTTGGTATTGGTGCCTAACCCTTTTCTGCAAGTACTCTTGGTGCCTAAACCTCAACCGCGAGTAAAAATGAAACACAGAGCAACCAAACGGGTCAGCACGCAGAGTATCTTGTACTTTCCCCCACCACCAGGCTCGCTTTCGCCGGCAGAAAAAACCAAAAAAAACCAAACTCAAAGTCATTTCAAGACTGTGTACAAAGGTGATTTTCAAAGCAAGAGAGCAAACACGATTTAAGCGGTATTTCTATTCTCACTGCAGCAGTAAAGATGCGTCGCTGTTGTTGGAATAATGCTGACACGAATAAAAAAATTTGTTTTCTGCTTTTAGTTTTCAAACAAATTGTGTTCAAAGATATTTTTGAGGGTTGCAAATGTGAATGATTTGGTTTTTATTTTTCTTGTTTTTGGAGGGCAGTGCATCTTTTTCTGAGACGCAGGCTGTCTAAACCCGTTCAGTCACTACCAGGAACTCTGTATGCACTGTTTACACCAGGGGTAGAGAACTCCAGGCCTCTTGGGTCAGTGTCCTACAGGTTTTAGATATCACCCTGGGTCAACACACCTGAGTCAAATGATTAGTTCATTACCAGGCGGCTGGAGAACTTCAAGACATGTTGAGGAGGTAATTTAGCCATTTAAGTCCGCTGTGTTGGATCAAGGACACATCTAAAACCTGCAGGACACCGACCCTTGAGGCCTGGCGTTCCCCTACCCCTGGTTTACACTGTCTTGGTGTTATACAATGACTAAGAATAAACATAAACATTGCATCACGGACACCAAAAGAGACCTCACGCGCATCCGTCTGTGACACCAGCGGCTGACAAAATGGCCATATTTGGCACCCTGAGATGAGAAGGTGTCGGGCTGTCTTTGGGGCGTTACTTTCATGTGTATGTTGACGTGTGCTCTCGGGTCAGTGGAGGTTTCTTGATTCTAGTTTGTCAGTGTGAGGAGAGGGAATTACAGAGGAACCATTTACATACTCCTGCACCACCTCCTGCCCTGCTGGAGCAGTAGTGTTTGGACTGAGGCTCTCATCAGCAGTCTTTATTCTCCAGAGACAGCTGTGCAGTGGCGCGGTGCAGCTCGGCAGTCACCCTCCTGTGCAAGGCCAGGGGTGCTGCTAAAGAGCCTTCATACGCCAGCATAGGAGGACTGTCCCCGCCTCCGCTGCCCGTCCCATCCTCCTCCATCTCCATCTGTCCGTTACTTTGCCTCTCTCGCTCCCTCTCTTCCTCCGGTCGTACTTTTTTATCATCTGACTCCTCCTGCGAGGCCTCCATGCGCTGGTCCTCGCTCCAGCGCCTCTTGAAGCGCAGCTTGAGAGGAATGCACTTCGTCTGGGGAGCCCCTGCCGCGGGTGGCTGAGATGGGGGTGTGCTGCTCTCCCCGGGCTCGGCGGGTTCGCTCTTGATGATGGGCAGCATGCGATGTACGCCGGAGTGCGTGTGCTGCGAGGTGAAGAAAGGCATCAGGCCGGGTGGAGGAGGAGCGGGGGCTTTGAACACATCTTCTTCTAAGTCCTCGTCGGTGTGGGGTTGTTGCTGGGCCCGGGCTGAGCCATTAGGAAGGTGGTGGTGGTCGGATGCTCTCGGGTGGCGAGGGGCGAAGAGCTCAAACTCTTCATCTCTTTCATCTGGGTCTTCATCGCTAATGTCAGTCACCTCCACCTCTTCCTCGGAGTCTATGTCAGAGATGGGCTCAACCTTCAAACAGAGGGACAAGGAAGTTGATCAAAAATGTAACTTAAAAAAGGATTGCTGTTGGTAATTAAATATATAAATCACAAATAAATACATAAATTTACTAATGCTTAAATCCCAACCTGACTTTAGTTGGGAGAGCTGACAGAGTATATAGAGTGACTCACTTTCATATTTATTGTTTTTTATATCCTTCATAGAGCTTGATTACATGCACGTTTAGTTTGTGAGCTGCAACTGGCCAGACTGACACAACTACAGTCATGCAGACTGACTGAGACTTCGCCCTGAACTGTAAAGCCAGCAGCAGCAATCCTGCTCTGGTGATCTGCGTACTCGAGGGACACTCTAACCAGAAGCTGCAGAAATAGGTATGCTGAGCTCACCAAGCAAAGCATAACAAGGACTACCATCGCCAGATACAAGACAGAGGAGTTTGAGTTCAGGAAGTTTCTCTCAGGTACTTAAAATCCTGAATTCCCTCAGGCTATTAGATGACTTTAACTCTGACGGGGTCATTTATATTCATTTTTCGATGACTGTTCATTTTTGGACACATCCTTGTAATCTATTTATTTTTCTTTCCTTTAACCTAGAGCTGGGCGATATGAGATTTTTTCATATCACGATATGTTTTTTTCATTTCAGGCGATAACGATATCCATCACGATATAAGCCAAATAACTATATTTGTAAGATTTAAATGTGCCGTTGCTCACAAGTAAAATGTGAAATAATCAGCAGCTTGTTTTTATTTAAATATTTATTTCCCATAATAAGTTCAACAGGGTAGATGTACTTGAGGAACATGAGACTTTTTCAGATAAATAAAGGCAAATATTGCAAACTACACAAAAGGCAGCCGCTAAAGCGTTTAAGTTTCAAAATAGAACAAACGAAACAGACTAAATTGTCAATTCCACTTAGAAACAAAATATTAATTCTAAAAATAAATCTTAGTTTGTTTTACAGAAGAACAGACAAAACTAACTTTTGTCAATATCAAATAAACTGAGAACTAAAAGGAAATTCTCGATCTCTCCTTGTTGTATAGCTTAGCTTTTCAAACAGTTGTAACAGTTACTTTAGTCTGACAAAAGCCGAATGACGAATTAGCGCTTCCAGTCAGAGACTGAGGCTACGTCCACACGTACACGGGTATTTTTGAAAACTGAGATTTTCCGTTTTCGTTTTAAAAAAATAATCCCGTCCACACATAAAGGCAGAAATGAAGGAAAACGCTGCTATGAACATGCCAAAGCAGCAGGTGGAGCTAGATTCCTAACCGTGCAGAAATGTTGGCCAATCAGAAGTCTAGAAGCCTCGGTGGGAAAAAGTAAACAAAGCTGGGGCATAGAAGCAGACCCGAGTCGTATGTGTGGACGGACAGTAACTGTGTATATGTAAGCATTTAAACACTGCAGAGAGTAGAATTAACAGTAACAGTATTGTAGAAATTCATTTCACCGAAACAATAACGTGGCGCAGTGTGACGCATGCACCAGTTTATTGTATTTCCAGACTTGCTTTTGTGCCGAGTAGCGTGCAATTTACAGTGCACGCTACTCTGTTTTTTGTCAGACTTGAAATAGCCGAAATACCTTCACACTACGGAACTTCTATGGCTCTTCCGTTCGACAATCTCTCCGGCATTGGAACCATCATCTGTTTTCTCTTCGGTCACGCTCGGTTGATTTTTCTAGTCGGCACACTCATTTCCTCCATTACGCGCTGGCTCCATTACCCACTGCCTGCTTCCCAAACAAACACACGTGCGGCTTGGCACTTGTGCTGTACGTAACAAGTCACGCGACGTGACGCTGCGGCTGTGATTGGTTCGGCTCTGCGCTACTTAGTTTGGATTGGCTGACCTTTTTTTAAAAAAATTTTTTATTTTAAGAGGACAAGAGCGGCGAAGTCTATCGCGATAGCTTAATTTCTCTATCGAGTAAAAGTTATATCGCGATACATATCGTTATCGTTCTATCGCCCAGCTCTACTTTAACCTCATTATTTATCATTCTGTTCCTTAAAAAGCAACTGTGATTAGTGTGTAAGGACTGTGAGTCGTGTGGGTAAGCTGCAAACGAAATGCTTGTGTTTGGGTTTAATAAAGTTATCTCAATCAGAAACAAAATACCAGCCCATGCTCTCTCTGAAACACACGTAGCCACAAACAAAGTCTAAATCACTGGGAACTGTGGGAATGTGAGCGATGTTTGGGTCTGGGTACCTTTATCTTGGGAAGTCCCGCGCTGTTTAGAGATTGTGTTGACGAGGAGGCGGAGATGAGCCCGGAGCCACTGGCAGAGCTCAAGTCACTGCCGAATGACAGCGAGGAGCCCAGGCCAGAGGTGGAGGACATGGACCCGGATCCTGAACCCGAGGACAGTGAGCTCTGCCTGGCTTTACTCTGGCTCTGCCCCTCCCTCTGCTTCCTGCCCAGTGGAGGCGGCTGCAGCTTGAACTTGAAGGGGGACATGTGCGGCGGCTCCTCACCAAGGTGAAGTGAATGATGCATGGGGTGGGAATGTGGGTGAGGGTGAGCAGAGTGAGGATGCGGGTGGTGGTGGGTCGGGTGACCCAGAGGTGGATGGTGGTGCCGGTCTCCTCCCCTCTCGCCTCCCCCCACAGTCGAGGCTCTCTCCGCCCTCTCGGCCGCTCCTCTCTCTGCAGTCAGACCGGCCTTGTCGGGCCGGTGGGGCTGGGGGATGACGATGTTGGGGTACTGGAGGAAAGCTCTGGGGCTGAGGCCATAGTTGTACACCGACTGGGTGTGGGCCTGCAGGTAGCGCTTCATGTCCTCTGGGTTAAAGGAGAAGTGAGAGCCTAACATGGGTGATAGGGTGGGCGAGGGAGTGTACGGGAGGTGAGATGTGGGGGTCATGGAGAGTGCAGGAGACAAAGGTGGAGCTAGAAGGCTTGCTCCTCCTGGACCTGGCAGGGGGGAAGCAGGGAAGGGGGACAGGGGCTCTGGGTGGATGCGGTGTGCTGCTGGGCCACGGGAGCCTGGATGCCCTGCAGGGTTACCCGGCCCTCCGTACATGCGGAACAGGGCTTCATGAGAAGCCAAACGGGGGTGGATGATGCTCCGGTAGCCTCCTCCACCACCACCTGGCCCTCCTCCACTCACAACTCTCTCCCCCCTCTCCTCTCCTGCTCCCGTGTTACCCTCCTCGATCTCAGAATTGGCTGAAGTGCCGTCGCTGCAGTCGCTGACAGAGCCACGGGCCATTCGTCGGGCCACGGAGCTGAACATGCCACCGGGGCTGCGCAGGTCCTCGTTAGGGGAGAGGACTTCAGATGGGGTGGAAGGAGGGAAGCGGAAGTGGGTCCCTGCACCGGTGGGCACAGGAGGGGCACTCTGAGGAACGCTACTTCCTGTAGATGTAAAAGGCAAGAGAGAGAAGATAAGAAAAAGAGTAAAAAAGACGGGCAGAGTACAGAGAAATGAATTGCAGTGCTCTCTTGTATAATCCCATGTAGTCATGCCATCCTATTGTGGGATTAGGAGATATTTACACACGCACACACAGACGAGGCTTACCAGTGGAGCTCATATCAATGAAGGGGTAGTTGACCAAAACCAGTTTGTTGAAGTTAAACTTGTAGGTGAACCTTTTCCCTTTGGTCTTATGAAGGATCCTCTTGTTGTAGTAATATCTGTAAAACAGAAGGAGAAAACTAAAATCAAACACAGCATACAAAACATTTCATTCCAAAATAAGCTCCTCGTGTTTAAAACACTATTTTGTGCTTCTGATCTTTAAGGCCATGTCAGATGAGCTTGCACAGTCAAGCACACACTTTAATAAGCGAGTCTTTCATGCGCCCCCCCTCATCATGACAGATATTAGAGAGTGTTGCATGACATTTGCACAAAGCAGACACAGAAAGGAGGAGGAGGAGGATGGGATGGGAAGCAAAAAGGATGAGGATACACTGAGCTGAGGAACAGCACTGTGAAGTTGTGCGTCAGGATAAGAAAATAATTAAAAGATCAGCAGCCAGCGTAAGCAGCGCTGGGCTGTTCTGAATCTGCATTTAACAGGTGTGCATGCAGGGCAGCATTTGTGTTTAACCCTTTAAAGCCCGAACCATGACATAATTGCCAAAAATGTAAAGTTTTTAAAAATGGAGTATCTATTGCCTCTTATGACAAATTTGAAGAAAAGAGAAGAAAAAAAGACTAGAACAAAAAGGAAGCAAACAAAACGTTCTTAGTCAAGAGAAAAGTAAGAGCACCAAGAAGAAGCATGTTTACACTGAGGGCAACTTGAACTCCTGACCTTACGCTCTAAAAAACAGATCTCCAGATGGATGGATTTTCTCCCCACCCCTAGTGAATAAAGTTACTTTTTGCGAGTTGTTATCACGTCTAAATAGAAGAAACAGCTTTCACCAAAATGCTTGGTGAGAGCTGGTGTGTCTGGACTTTTATTGTACTCGGAAACAATGTCAACATCTGTCCAGCTACGTTTCAGTTTCTGCCGCTGAGATAATCCTGCTGCTTCAACCGTCTTTGCTAGCAATCAAAAAAAAAAGGTCAGGTATTATGAAAAAAGCATCTTTTAAGTTCAGATGCGGTCAGATGAGTGGTCTCTCTCTCTCTCACACACACACACACACACACACACACATACACAACTCATTCTCATCTTTCATTTTTGCTGGTGGACCTGTCTCTTTATATAACAGCAAAGCAAAGCCACCAATAATTCAGCCCATCTTTATCTGTTTATGTAATGGCCATTCTCTCAGTTTTTTTCATGCTTTTTCTCTCTCCCATGGCTCCTGCCTACAGTGCAAGGCTCGATTTTTATTAACCTTTGTCCAGCTACAGCTCTTTATGTAACATCTCTCTGCTTTCTTCCTCGGATCCACACTCACTTTATGTAACCTCTAGATCCCTGGCTGACAACCCTCACACACCGAGGGAAACAGAGCGAAAGAAAGAGGAGGAGAAAGGAAAAAAAAACCCTGATGTGTTGATCCGTCAGGGTGGGAGGGGCGAAGAAAACAAGCCAGATCACCAAAACTACCACCTGTCCTTCTCACCACTATCCCTGGTGATTAAACACAGGGTTTAACCACACTGCCCTTTTCTCCTGTCTGCATGCCTACCTGCTTTTATAGTGCTAGACTAGCCGCTTTCTCTTCCTCCACCATGGCACATGATAAGTGATGAGTGCTGGCAAAGATAGGGGCTTCAGGGTATGTAGGTAATGTTGAGTTAATCAGAGCCCAGTGACTATCATTACACTGAATGGTAGTTATCGAGACGGCGCTGTGTGCCGGTGTCTGTTGCCCTTCACCCCCTCTTATTATGCTTATTACTCAGACTTGTTGGACCGTTTTTTACTCTGGGAACAGACTATTGCTCTTTTTCACTTGTTCTCCCCTCCTCCTTCTCCCTTTATCCTACCGATACCCCCTGTCTCCCTCTTTCTCTCATCAATCCGCCTCCCCCCTCTTTATCCTGCCCTCTCCACTCATCCCCTGAGGCAGTGGGAGAGAGGAGAGAGAGAGAGAGGGAGAGGGAGAAAAGAGACAAGACAAGCCAGCACTGTTGAAAACATTGTTTACGCCAGGCACAAAGCAGCATGTAATTTCTGCTCTAGGGGAGACACTCACAAGGGCCGGGAAGGAGGGGGAAGGAGGGGGACGGACGGACAGAGACAGGCGGGCAGGAAGTGAAGCAGAATTAAAACCACAACAGGCTTGTGATTGAATTAGCTGATGATAGAAAAAGTCAATGCGATGTGCTGCGACCCACATAGGGTCCAATATAAATACAGAGAAAACAAACAAAGTCGCATGCATCTAAAATACACTCAGCAGCAAGGACATAAAACCTCGAATGTGAATGACAAACGTTTATTGATAGTGAAGACGACAGATGAACGATAGGTGAGGGAGGCCACTGCGGTTTTGGGGAAGGACTGGTGGATCATGCTGATATCTATGAGAGGATGGCAACAAATAGAAACAAAAGGAAAGGACCAGGGTCGTATAAGTATGACAATAAGTGAAGTGTTTGGTTCCCCCTCCTAATGTCAGATAAACTATGTTCAGTATGGGGTGAGGGGAGGAAGACAGCACAAAAGACACAATGTGGAAAAGAGCCAGAGATTAATAATAACTAATGATTAAATGCAGAGTGGTGTATCAACACAGTGAAAAGAGATGAGTTAAGAAGAACATTCATCAGCATGGGAAGCCCCCAGCAGCCTCGGCTTATTGAAGCATATTTTTGACAGTTTATCAAAGAAGGCTATCTGCTGTATGTTCACCTAGGTATGTAAGAAACATCTAGGCAAAACTGTTACTGAACAGAGGTGGTGGCATGGGACACCAACGATCAGTCTCAAAATCTCTTCCCAGGCAATTCAACCCTGGCTCACAGTCACTGAGGTCACAATCATGTGACCTTAATGACTCACATGATGGCAGGGTGGGTCAATGACGCTCAGGACCACCTACAAAGTGACAACCTCATTAGAGTTTAAATACCTGGGACTCACCATCAGCTTTTATGACTGACAGTGCCTTTCAGATGAGAACGCCTTTAGTCTAGTTGGGTCATTTCATCATAAATAATCATGGGTTTTCTGCTCGACCGTCTCCAATTTGCCTAAAAATGTCATAGATTGGCTGTATAACCAACCAAATAACTCTAACTTTAACCAACTAAGTTTTGGTACCTAAACGTAACCATTGAGTGGATGTTAAAGTTAGAAATTAAGTGCACGAGTTCTGGGCTGTTAACTGTTGCAGGTCTGTTAAACGTGGCCGAGGCCGCAGGAGGAGCTGCGATCCAAGATTCATCATCTGCAGAAGTGATTACACCACCAGAGGGAGGAGGACTTCACAGTCATGAGTTCTTTGAGTCATTTAAGATGCTGAAATGTGAAATCTAAGGTTTTATTCTTCACTGTGTTTGTGCTACTAACAAAAAGGTATGACTTCATTCATTGTGCTACGATGTGACTTAGACCTAAATATAAAAAATGTCACAAACATTGTTACACCTGAGCTCACAAGCTGTGGTTTTGATGCAGCTCTATCAAATGTCACATTTATTTCTTTAAAATTATTTTTGGACTTCTTATTAATACATCCTGACTTAGAGAACATTTTTGTTTTGTCCACGTTCTTTATTATACTCATAATAAACTCGGCATAACAGTCAAATCCTCGAGAAGTTTGCCTCTACATAAGGATTCAAAAGGTCTTTTTCTTCCTGGAAATTATACTTTTACTACCATCTTTGCCCCCTACACATTTAAAATGGGGGATCGTTTGACTTTCCCTCTCAAGTCTCTGATGTTACAAGGGTACATAAAGCTGAAATGCAGGGTTGGAAATAGAACAACTTTCCATGTGCTCTGAATGAAGCTGCGTTTAGAGCACATGGTCACCCGGTCTTTCTCCAAGCCCACCCCCCTGCGCCGTCATACAGGCAGACAGTCTTTGAAGAGCATTTGAACTCACTTCAAAAGAGAAGAAAGAGATTCTTTGAGTGCCTGTGTTTAGCTGCCCACCGCACTTGCCTTACACGCACAAATGCATGCATGCACACACACATTTCTATTGTATCCTGTGCCATCTCATTCAGACATACTCAAACGCAGGGGTGGATGTGTGCCCCCACTCCAGCATGTATCATCCAGGAGATACAGCTTTATCCCATTCCCTGTTCTACCAAAAGAGTAGATTGAACAATCAGTGCGAGCATGGATTTAGGCAAAGCCTTCGGGGAAACAGAGGGGGAGGCTTTCTATCAACTCACTTGTTACTGCGAGTGATTCTAGGCCAGGGATTATGGCTGCGATTACACAGACGTGCTGGGGTCCAAAACATTATGATCAAAGCATGGAAACACACACCGGAGTGCAGCAACTAAATACCAATGAACGGACAGAGAAATTTCAGAAACCCGTACTTGAAACCATGTTTTTACAAAGCAACCCTTTCCAGGTCCTTTTGGGGGGACCTGAGGTGTTCACAGGTCAGATGAGATGTATAATCTCTCTAAAGGGTCCTGGGTCTCTTCCCAGTTTGGTTTGCCTGGAAAACCTCCAGAAAGAAGCACCCAAATATCTAACCTATGGAGGAATCTCGTTGGGACCTCTTGTATTTAGGAGCTTATTCTTTTGGACATTCACAAAATCTCATGACCAGAGGTTAGGGGTGGAACTTTCTTTGTATCATTTATCCAAGCACTGATTTTCCTTAATGCTTAAATTCAGGTTTGCAGCAAGGCTGGAGCCTATTCCAGCTGTCACTGGGTAAGAAGCAGGCACACCCTGCCCAGGTCGCATCATAGACTGAGACAATCAGTCACACCTACAGTTAAGTTAGAATCACTAATTAGCCTAATAGTGCATTCCAGATGTAGTCGGAAGCCCCAGTTCGAGATTGGGTGTATATTGATACCACCACCATCTCCAAACTCAGAAGATATCTTATTTGTCTTACATAAAAACTCATTAACACGTGTATTGGATGAGTACAAATACCCACATGCATCGTATTGCAAATGCAAAAAGTTGAATTGCCTTAAAAGGTTAAGGCAGTAATCTGTGATTAAATATAAAGTATTGCACGTTTAGTTCAAACACTGAGGTTGGGCTAAAGACCTGTCCACTATTCCCACTTTT